AACGCGTTTCGCCTCTTCAAATTTTTCCAACCATGCGAAGAGTGTGTAATTGATGAATTATGGAAATTAATGCTCTTTCGCAGTGAGACTGATTGATTGTCTAGATAAGAGATAGGATTTATCAGCTCTCCTATCTTCAACACACAAACTGTGCGTACGTGTTGTAGGTTAGGTGAAAGTGCAGTTGCAGCACTGCAACTGTCCAAGTGTGATTTGAATTTAAAAACCACTTTGACAGTGAATTTGCAGAGAAATGACAACTCTGTTGGGACGCTCATTCCTCCCGGGATCCATGGAAAGTCCCCATCTCCAGGGGCAGTCCTTGAAATGCTTGTGTGTGTGCGTACGAGCCGTGTCCTTGAGCTGCCGAAAAATCGACCAGCACAATCCCAGAGAGGCTGGGATGATGGCGCGAGTCAATGTACTTGCCAGTGAGGCTGGCCCGTGCGTGCGCCGACGCTGGAAGTGCGCTGGAAGTTCACCATAACCCTACTTCCGCCCCCGCCCGTCCCCAAAGGTCACCCTGATGCCCACCCCCAGCGCCTTACCTTCGGATTCTCTGGGAGAAACGCCTCGCTGGCCAGGATTCCTCCTCAATCTTGGCGATGGTGCGGCTGCAGTTGACTCTGGGGGTGGACTGAGCTGGGGATCAGCGCCCTGGCGATAGACACGCACACACACTGACACTGCTTAGCGGGCGTAAAATCCTGTCACACGGCGGCTGACGTTTCCCGCCGGCGGGCTGTCAAACGTCACGTACACTTAGGCAGGATGTCCGTTGCCGGCGTCCCCGTGGCGCCCCCTGGGTGCACAAGGAGGACAGCGCCGGCCAGAGCGATCGAACGGTTCAGGAGATAACATGATTCCGCCGAGACAGCTATCTGGCCTAATTTTGACGCTGTATTGGTTTCTTCGCGGTCGGCTCGCGCTCACAGCCACATCCAGCGACACACATTTATCTCTCCACTTCTTCCCACCTCTGCGGCTCTCTCCGATGCCTTCACTACACGAATTTTCTCACAGGTCGATCGTCTTCTCGTCCGCCTCGCCGCCCATCCAGGTGGCCCTGCACACACTATAAATCAGAAGTGGGATGGCTCGTCCCGATTCGCAATCCGCCCGAAAATCGATACTTTCCCGAAAAACGCGACTCTTGACACTATTTTCATCCAGCGGCCTTCATCGAGCCGCGGACTCAATCGACTTTTCTGAGCGCGCGCGCCAAATTTTCCGACACTCTCTCCCGCCTGGAGCGCCCCACAGCCTCTCGTATCCTGTTCGCCCTACTTTCGCACTCTCTCTCGGGGGGGCGACAGTCAGTCTCTCGCGCAGAGGAGGCGATCGCGGTGTTGTCTCGAGCGAAGCCACACGACAACTGACTGTGGCGAGAGAATAGTGCAAGTGAACACTCTCGCGCTCTCTCGCTGCCAATCTGGCTTAGAGCGAGCGGAGAGAGGCTCTCTCGCCGTCGCGGGGCGGTAGAGAGAGAGCCGAGACGCGCTTCAGGAACGGAGACATCTAATGATGAACATATGCAGCTCTGGAAAGGGTTAGCAGCTAATTATTGAAATGCTTGTAGCACGTGTGATTAAAATCACGATAATTTAATGATGAAGAGAGAACAACAAATTAAATATAAAAAAAATAAAAAATACAAATTATATAATTTTTACTTTTATCTAAACGTGATTTACTGGAATCTTGATATCCTTACCAGCAAAGCGTGATAAATGAGAGTAAGTAAAAAGACTTGTTCTTCTAATTAGACATTCAATAATATAATAACTTGTGGAACAACGTTTATTTGTTCTTCCAAAAATTTAAAAACTTGTCACAAATAATCCAGCCTTCAAAGAACCTAAATTGACTTTATTAGCTCTATATAGTGTCCCGATTCCCATCGTTGTCCAACAATTCATGTAAAACAGATGCTTTTTTTCAGAATAAACATGGGGGAGTTATTTCGCTGTAAAGAGTTTAATGTGTTTTCTGTAAAAAAAAAAGAACAACAATAAACAGGTGTACATTTTAGGGGTTGTTCAATTATTTCTCATCCTTGAAATTAACTATAATCACTCACAGAGGGTTAGTCATATTTCCCACTGCGACAGCTTCATAGCCGAAATCAAGAGTGGTTGAGAAGCTCTGGCTGAACTGGCCAATCTTTGGAAATTATACCATTGGAGGTGCGCCCTTCAAGGATGCCCTCGGATGGCATCTCGTCAGCGTCGCAAACAGGCCTCCCGCGAGTGTGTCCTTCACCGCGCCATGTTGTTGCGATAGGTCAATTTACAACTCTCCGACGTGCGCCCATTTTCGCCCCGGGGCGTGCCCAGATTGGCCCCCGCGGGGGCGCAATCTTGGCCAAATTGCCCGCGAATTGCAGATGAGCAAATCATTGGGATTGTTGGCCACTGAGGCACCTTCGGTGCGGCTCAAGGAGCAATTTAGCAGCCTAAACACTTGTCGTATGTCGCAAGAACGCGACAAGGAGACATAATTTTTGGGAATGACTTATCAATTTTGGTGACTTTCCCTTTATTGATAACCTCGATAAACTATCACTTTACTTGATGATTCCCGAAAAAAAAATGAGCCCAACTTTCCACCCGCTTCGCATGCGATATCGATTTCTGTCACTGCCGACCTGCTAAATTGCTCCGCAAATGCATCCACCCTAATTGAATTCCTCAAGAGGAGGGAATACATCATGAGAAACCATTTAACTATCTCGCCAAATTGACGATGCGGAGAGCGTCTCTCGTGTCACCCGAGAAGCCTCGACAAATTGTCTGGCGTCCTCCGTTGAAGGGTGCGAAGATCCGTAATGATGATGATTCGGTGACGAGGGACGCCAATTTATCGGCAAAAAAAGGCCGAGACGCGGCAGAAAAGGAGCATCGTTTGAGCCCAACAAAATGATATGATGAATTTGACACTATTTCCGGTTAATTTGAATCGGGCGAGGAATAATGACGGAACAACTGTGCGCGATGGCTTCAATATGCGGCATTGGGACCCTTCCTTTTGCCACACCGTATCGTGTGTTGAGGCAATTGATGCCTCCCAGGGTGGAAAAGTCCTCTTTCCCTCCTATACGGAAATTGTCTCCCTCGAATGAGACGCATCATTATCGCCGAGAAACATTCACTCAGGGCCCCGGAAAAAGTGCTGAGATGGACGCATAAGGAGGAAAATTATCGCGAATTTGACAATCAGGCGCCCTTTGTCGACTGAAAATGGCACTAGAGGGAGAAAATTGGGGGAAATGCCAGCCGCAGAGGCAATTTTGCCGGAAAAAGTGCTTATCCAAGATTATCCATGATGATCCTCAGCATTTATCCCAACAATGGTGGAAATAACAAAGATTCCCTATCGCGCTGTGTAAAGTGATAAATTGACTGACAATCTCGGCAAAAGAAATAAATAATATAAATAATTCATATACGGTTTTTCTGCATGTAAACTTTTAAATTGTGTGTTTGTGGAGCAATCAATTTGACTTTCAGATGTGCAACTTGACATACGTTTGCAAAAATTATCCCTGAGCGTGAAAAGAGCTGAAGGCGCATCTCGCAGGAAGAAGAAGCGTCAGCAGAAGTCTGTGGCCATTGAGAAAAGTACCTGAATTTATCCACGGGCAACACGATGACAAGGCATCCAATTTCAGTCGTCTGCGAGTGGCTTTGCCAAATGTGCAATTAATTCACGCCACTCACATGTTCTCAGCTCTCGGAGAGCGAAAATGCCTCACTGAATTTCCTATAGATCAGCTAATCAATTGAATTTCGCCAACACAAAACTCTTGCGCGCTTCCTTCTGTTCTTGCCATTTGAAGTCCATTGAATTCCGTGTCGCCTTTCGCCTCATCATCTTAATTTTTTTTGTCTCTCTTTCGACCTTCTGCTGGGAAAAATCTCACATTTTCCTTCGATTCTCGCTGAATTGACGGAAAATCTCACTTGGTTCAACGGTCAGGTACAATAAATTCCAAATTGTTCGCACTGGCGATTTGCCTGCGCCGCGACACGCTCCGCCGGCCGCACCTGGCGTCCCTGCCGCGACCAGAGATCCCAAATCCAATCAGCAATTACCACCGGTCATGGCTGGGAAGGCCGGAGGAGGCACGAGTCGAGCGGTCTGCACATCCCTTGACCTTCTCCGTCTTTTGCCTGTGACGCATCTGGGAAGACTCAAAAATGACCTGGAAATCACAACTGTGAACGCAGAGTTGAGCCGGCGACTGCAGAAGGACTTCTAGATGTGATTTAATGAAATATTTAAAATTTCTAGCAGATATTTTGATGTGATTCCATTTTCATTCGCTTGTTTTGGATGTACTTTGGATAATAGTTATGATCAATCTTAACACTTTTTAACACTAAATGCTTGTGATCTTCATCAGATTTCATTTATTATTGTGTCAATAATTGAAATTATACCAGCTAAGGCGCAAGAATGAATGATTTTGTGATTATATAGTTGCTTAGTTTGTCTTAAATTTAAAATCACGCATGCGAATGCATAAGTTTCAATCGCAATCTTCAATCTGCAATTTCATCAACTCTCCTCTCATCCTCGTCAATTAGGCAAGACAACGCCGAGAAGTGATCCTTTCCTCCACTCTTTGTCGTGTCGCTCGTCCGGGATCGCTTCTGATTTATGACTCACAGACAGTCCGCTTCCTCGAAGTGCCCCGGAACAGTGAAAACTAATTTGGCGTGACCCTCGAGAGGCGGCTGCAGCGCGAATCCGTCCGTGAGCGCCCGGGTGTGCGTCCGAGGGGCAGGTGAGGGCCCTCCCGGGTGCTCCGTGGAGCGTGGAGGCGCGGTTGCGTTTGAAACGCTGCGTGGTGGCGCGCCAGAGAAACTCACCGCGAGTGGTGAGTTCGTCGGCGCCGAAGGGTGGCCGGCGGCCGGGCCGAGCACCAGCCGAGCGGTGGTGCCACCATTTCGGGCGTCGAAGGAGCCGTCCGGTTTGTGGCATTGGCAGTTTAGTTGCTTCGAAGACTCTGTCGTGTGTGGTTTGGCAGACCTCCTGACTTGTTTCCAGCTCTTGTGAGACTGTGTGCGGATTTGCCTTAGTTGAGTGGAAGAATTTCTCAAGTGGACTTTGCCGACGTGCGTGAAGGTGAAGTGAGACGGTGATATTCTGCGGACACTGTGCGTGAGCGAGAGACTGGCTTTGGCGAGGTGAATCGCGCGAAAAGGCGGCAATTTTTGCACATATTTTCGCTACACAACCGCACAAGTCGCGAGACATCCCGGGGACTTCCTGTGAATTCCACCCCACGAGGCGCCCTTCCGCTGGCCCCATTTCTCCGGCTAGCGCTCCTCTCTCCCCCTGTTCAAATCACCCGCCCCTCCCCCCAAGTGGCGCCCTCACACCCGAGTCCACCACTGCACACTCACCCCAGCGGGACAGAGAGATACACCCCACCGCGAGTGCGAGCGAGAGGGTGAGTGCGAATTCCCCCCGCACAGCCCAAAGACAGCTCCGAGCCTCTCGCCACCCCGTTCTCGCCCCCCTCGCCGCGAGGGGCGCCCGGCGGCCCGCGACGTTGCCTTTTTCCCTACCTCTCGGCACCGGCTCGCGCCCCCGGGCGCCTCCGCCGGACTCCCGGAGTGACCATCGCGCTCCGAGGGTGTTTTGAGTGGTAAAACCACAGGATTGGGCAATTGAAGTGACTCCAGCGAGCCTTCGCGAATCATTTGCACACTTGAGATCTCTTCTCTCGGCGGACATTCGATGCCTCAGATTGAGGTCTCAACAGTCTTAAACCCGCATTTGTCTCAGCAGAGATCTTCTCAGTGATCAAATTAGTCAGTTTTCTGTGAAATTATTCTGCTTTTCTGCAAATATCGCAGCAATATTCCATGGTGAAATCCCTCCAAGCGCTTTAAGGACACACTCATTGCTCTTCCGTATGGTTTTCGGTGGAAGATCACGGATTTTCGGAGCCGCGAAGTGGTTGTAACGAAAAACCCGCAATAATTGCAGGCAAAGCAGAAGCGCGCGTGGGAGAGAATTGGAGAAAGGTTGAGAAAATGCCGAAGAGTCGCCTGGGCGACAAGTGAGACTGCCCGAGACAGCGAACAGGGACGGAGATTGTAGAGGAGAGAGGAGGACAGTTAAGGACAGTTCGGGCTCAGTGGGACGATCAGTGGACTGAGGCCGACGGTGCGTGCGTAGAGCCAGGAATCTCCTGCCGTTAGGATTGTGATGGTGCTCGCCGAGGATTTTCACCAGGAGCCCGTCCGGCTGAGGCCGCGATCCGAGTAGCTCTGCCATGTCAACACTTCCTGGGGGCCATTGGACATCCTGGGGATGTGTCCAGGCTCTCATCGTGACCTTGGCCATCCTGCTTCTGTCAGATCCAGGTAAGTGTGTTTCCTCGTGTCCACGAGAACTGTTCCCAGAACAGACGAAATTGTGGGGTTGGAGGGATTGCGTTACGAAAAAAAAAGAAATATGCTAAAGAGGCGGAGCATTCATTAGCATGCACAATGAGGCAGGAATTGGTGGAGGGAGAAGAAATTGGCGGATTCCTTGACACTTGTCGTTACGACCTTTGTGTGTTGATGCGACAATTTTTCCATCGTGACTCACTGTTCGCCCCCCCCCCCCCCCCAAAGCCCCGAATATTTGGTCACGAGGGGAGAATCCAATGGTGAGCGGCCGCACTTTCCGGGACAGATGGAAGCTGGCGGTCTCGCGTGGTGTTTTTTTTTTGGCAATCCGTGCACACTTTTGCAATGTTAATGCCAAAATTTATGGGCTCAATTTGCATGTTTCTAGCTGACGCTGTACCACAATATTAAATAATAATGCAGCCAATTCAATGAATTTCCTCCGTGCTCTTGTGCATTTTAAATTTTCCATTCTCGCGAATGGCATATTTTGGGCGCGAAACAGCCGCGAAAAACGCGCGCGCGAAATGTGGAGAGGAGAAGCATGAGGCGATTGTGCTGTTGCTGGTGGAAATTGAATGCAAAATTAGACCTCGACTTGGGTCACCAGCAATAATCAAAATGTGTGACTAAGACAATATAGGTTTTAACCCATATCAACTCTTTTGTCTACACTCAATTGGTCGCGCTAGAAGGCCACACAATTGCCATCGCGAGGCGTTTGTGTGGTGGATGGAACACTTTTTGGGAACAGTTCTTTTTGGGAGAGTTAATTTGAAAACTACATAAAATCGACTCACACTCGAGGCATTTTCTCTGCGTCATAAATCTGCTAACGCGCGCAATTGTCACTCCTTGACGTTTTCCTTCTGGTTGGAGGTCAAGAAGGCCCCTGAATACATGGAAGGGTGATTGATTCGAAGGGCTGAGCGCGACCCCTTTCAATGACATTTCCGTCATCTTACCCTCAGCGCCGATAGTGCTTATTGTCTCGTCATTTTTCACCCACGAAAAGGGAAAGGAGAAATGGATGAAACCACAAAATACAACTATCATTTCAATCCTCAAAATTTCGTGGTGGCGAGAGGGTGAGGTTTGACTGTGTTCGGCCAATTGGAAGCAGTGAAAATCGAAGTTGCTTAAAAATTTATATGGATTTTTATTGGATGATATTGAAACGCGCGCGCTCACACCAAAAGAATCTCAATTTCTGGCCTCTCTTGGGGCATTTCTCAGGAAGTCGGTGTGTCTGGGGAGGATGATGTTGCAAATTGAAAGTGAAGCAGAGGCATTAAGAGCTCATGTTTTATTAAGGGTTCTGCTGGATGAATGGCAAATGTGCATTCTGGGGTTACAAATGGGGGAGAAATGTGATTCTGAGCTTAGAAAGTGATAAAATTTCTGATTTCTGAAGGAAATTATGAAGGAGATTGAGAGGAATTTTTGCATCTTTTACGAACTGAAATACGAAATTTGTAATAAAGCAACGATCCTTAATTCAAATGATCTTTGTCGAATGCTATTCGTACGATAATTGAGTGACTGTCTATCGATAGTCATAAACTCTTTCGTATAAAACACTTTCAGTGGGAGATGAAATAATTCATATCTTTTGCCCTTCCGTAATTCCAATTTTGTCTTTCCTTCGCATATCGTGATTTGCAGGAAAGTTTTTTCCGCTTTCCAAGAATTTTGCCATGCGGGGCAGAAAGGCGAAATGAGACAAGAGACGCGCGCGCTACAAGAGAAAATTTTGCGGAGGCACAATGAAGAAAAATTTCACCCCATAGAGAAATATTGATTAAGAAAATGTATGAAAACGAGAAGAAAAAAAAAAGTGCCTGGCGAACTACAAATGCTGTGCCGCGAGACTTGAGAAAAATGGTAAAAGAGAAGTCTCAAATGTGTATAAAAGAATAATTTAAGTTATGCGCATGTTTCGTTCATTAAATCCATAAAATATGCTCTTTTTCTCTGGGTGTTCTTCCTCTTTCTCGGGCCAACACACCAAAAACAACCCACAATACTTCTCCCAAGTGTGGTGGAAATTTTTAAATTTTCCTCATATGACTTTTCGCACAAGGCATTTTGTCAGTTGAAATGCAGCAATTGTGGCTATTTGATGGCCTGAAAATCAACCCCTTATCGCGATTGGTGGCACGGAAAATGTGCCAGAGCGCCATTTATCTCTGGGTGAAAATTAATTTCTCACCTAAATGCCCCACACCAAGCGCGCCCCCGTTCGTGTGTCCATTCATGTTGATTTATCGCACGGCTCGAGGGTGAGCTTATGCATTCATCTGGCCTGTTCATTGATTTGTGACAGAGCGGCTGATGCGATTAGGACGCCCTCAGATGTGTGCCAGTGACGTTGAGATTTCTATGGTCATTCACTGCCACCCATCAATTTATCATATAATGTGCGGCCAGGGGGATTAATAGCGCACACCCTGTGCAAGGGGAGAAGAGAGAGAGAGAGAGGAGTTGTGGGGAGGCGCAAATGAATGAAAATCACACCCAGTGGTTCACTTACAAATTTTCCATGACTCTGGCTAATTAAGTTTATTGAGGGATGAATAGAGCGTCCATTTTCATTCAAGGATTCTCGGCCTGTAAGTGCGGTTGGGAAGGCACTCACACGGGGGTGCTTTTGGTGGAGTTTTCCATCGGGATTATACATACATTCCCGAGTGAGTCACTGTCAAGTGATTTATATTCCTGGCAGGATTTATGGGGATTTATTAAAAATCCCCAGAGCAAATTTTGCACACAATATCTCATGAATAAATAAAATTTGTATTTGAGCGAGGGCGCCGGGGGGAGGGGTGGATTGGGCTTGAGAACAGTTTCCCAGATTAGATGGAGATTCTTTTTCGGCAATAATGAAAAACAGTTCCTGAATTCACTCAACATACGCCAAAATCTCTTGGCAAGATGCACTGAAAAATCTGTATAGCAATGAGCATCATAATTATGGGAAAATACGGAAACAAAATCCCAAATTATGGCAATGAGTCCCATCCGAACTTTCACACAAATTCTCAAAGCCCCAAAAGCTTTCTTATCATTTTTAAGGTAATTATTTAAGTTCACTTTTCCGATACAATATTGTAATTCTTATCATTCTTTATTGTATCGTAACTTTTCCTTTAAAATTTAGCTAAAATTTTCTATCATCATTGTGAAATAGAAAATTAAATTATAAATGGAAATGTTTCTCGTGATCTTTATGGCAATTGTCACCATATCGTTATGGTAAATCTGCCGAAATTCCACACAATATTCCCTAAACTATGGGAAAAATTGCCATGTATTTTCCTCAGTGTGTTGGCAATTTTATTGCAATCTCCTCTCGTGCCATGTGAAAGACAAATGGGCAAGGCTGCGGGATTCTGGGAGCCTCTCTTGGTGTTTCTGGGTCATTGGCGAGCGTGTATTGCTCCAGGGGAGAAACCCCTAAAACCCTGCAAGTCACTGGGAAGGATATTTGGGTGAGAAGGTGTGTTGGCTGGTGGTGTGAGAATCAATTACACAGGCCCGTACTTGACGGTAAATAATTGATATATTGTTTGTCAGGTGCAAAGTGTGTCAGAGATGCACATCATGTTTCTAAAGTGTGTCACAATGTGTGTATTTGTCCTGGACAATTAATCTCTTTTTCTCGCGCTTTTTTAGCCTTTTGTCGCGCCGCCCGGTGATGGGCAAAAATTGAAAATCAATGTGAGGGTAAAGTGTGTGAAAAGTGTTTTGTACGGGAAAATACAGAGTGTGTGGGAAAAATGAGAAAGAGTCGATAGAGAAATTTTTGGCATTCACCCAAAATCAATAGAATAATGCTCTCTCTCTTTCACTGTGGAGTGAATTTTATGTGTAAAAATAGATATTACACGTAAGACAGTCAATTGCACACACACTCCAACTGAATTATCGATATTTTATCAATAGAGATGATCTGAATATTCACAATGGGAGCGCGCGGAGTTGAGGAGATTCCGCCGTGTTGCGGTGACACCAGCTGTGGGGGCTCCGCATACCACGCCAGTGTCTTTTGCATGGGGGGGTCTGTGGCTAATTATCGACCTTGCCCTCTTCTCCGTGGAATGTCTCGAGCGCCCCCCGCGCGCTCCCCTCGCTGCTCTCGCGTCTAATAATGCAGTAATGCGAATATGCTCAACATTCCAGAGTGTGTGAGGCCAAGAGAGAATCGGTGCAAGAAAGGTGGCTGAGCATTGAAGGCATTGTTCTTGTCAGTCCCATCAAATGTGACTTTTTTCACACAATGCCATCAGCCCATGTGGCTGGGTGAGAGAGGTGGGCTCTTTGCGAGCTCCGGGAGCGCTTCTTAGATGAGACTCAAATGGGGGAGACGCCGTCAAATTGCACTAATCGCAAAACATGAATTGACTCTCCAAGGAAAATTGTTTCTTTCAGAGCCGTTGCAAGATGCCACACTTAAATTCTCCGTGGTGCCAAAGGGGGAGATATTCTGTGGATATTGGAGAAAATTTTTGAAAAAGCTCGAATATAATTTTCCATAATTAGTTTTTTCAGTGCGGAATTTGCTTTCTCTATGATTGTGATTGTGGCTTCATAGACCGCTTGGCACCATTTGCAGACAGGTGTGTTCACTTCACGCACCCTCAAAAATGTGCATTTAGCCGATAATTCGTACAGTGTTTGATCTTTATAAGCTTTTTCCCCCTTAAGTGTTAATCTGGTTGTATTTTATCCTTTGGTGACAGTTTTCCTCCCAAATAATTGATATTTTGCCAATGAAGATACTATTGAAAAATCATCGTTTCTCGTAAGTCACTGGACGTTCTCGAAGCCATTTCCACTGCGCCAGCTCTCTAGATAGTTGCCCCTTGTGTGAAATGAAGAAAGGAAGGAAGACAAAAGAATCCCCACAAGAGAGATGAAGAAAAAAATCTTTAAATTCCACATTCCAGAGCGCGGCTCCATTGGAATCA